CCTGCATATGGATGAAGCTCAAGTCCAAGGAAATATGACCATGACAGTGTGGACACAAGTATCCCAACTGATTCCCCTGTGGCTTGTTCCTGCCCAGGAAAGGAACACTGGCTGATCCATAATGCTCCCACTCACTCAGGCAAGCACTTACTCCAGGGGAAACTCAGAGGAGCATTCCCTCTCTCTTCATTGTGAAGTGCTGCACTTCAACATTATTTCACAAACCCTGAGCACGACTGTAGCAGCAACAGCAAAGCTGTAAAAAGCAGTGCTTTCCAGGAAGGAACAGCAAAAAGCAATGCTTTCCAGGAAGGAACAGCATCCTCCACTAAACTCAGACACAATTCTTACACACATGTGCTCCATTTACCACTTTCACTACAGCTCACAGCACAACACAGTTCCTAAACCAGCCTTGGTAAGCAAAAAGGCAGCTACATCCTACAGCCCCTCCCAGCAAAAAGCTCTGGACTGCAAACTCTGCACTTGCTTATAGCCAAACCAATGGACCAGCACAGTTTTAGAAAACAGATTTATCTCAGCGTGGCCACATCGATGGGTTTTGAGTAAGGGAGATCCCCAACCAGGCACCCTCTGTCATGTTACACAAGGATGAGCTGAGCAGTTGAAAAGACAAAGTACCAGCAGGGGAAATGTGCATTCTCTTCAATCCAAGCAGGGTTTGGTTACAACAGGAGAGTCAGCCACAGTGAAGAACATCTTAGCCTGTACATCTGTGCCAGTGCATGCTCTGCATGGATGTCAGTGCAGCTGCGTCAGGAAAGCTCTCCAAGTGTAGACTTCAAGAGTGGAACTTTTGTGGAAAAGTGGAACTTTTTTGAAGAGGAAACACCCTTTCCTGCCCCTGCTTCTCTCTCTTTAAAGGAAAGGCAGGAGCAAAGAGGACCATTCTCAAAGCAGACAGGTATCAATCACATCCGAGTCTAAATCTCAAAGTTTGACAGTAAATGGGATCAGTGCAGACGGGGAAATTTCTTCCAGATCGGTCTCTCAAGCACAGAAATTTCACCTCAGATTGTCTTTGCTACACCTGTTGCAATGGTGGTGGAGAGGAGAAAACCCTGCTCCCAGGAAAGAAGAAAAACAAACCCCTCTGACCAGGTCATCCATGCTGCTGAAACCCTTCCAAATATGACAACATCTGCTGAAAAGAGTCCAAGGCCTGGAAAGGTGCATAAGGAACCCAAAATAGAGGTGAGCAGTTTCTTCAGTCAGTATCTAATCAAGAAGAAGGGAAAAGGACTACTAGAAAACACAGCACATTACAGAGAATTTCTGCACTATTCTCCAGAAGAATTTGCATCCTGCCAACACCAGCTTTAGCAACAAGTGGGTTAAAGAGTTAGTGTGCCACAAAAAGTTTTTCACCTCCAACAGGCACTAATGATTGACAAAACAACCCTGATGTCGCAGTAAGGTCCTGTGGAATGAAAGCTGGAGATGCACAGACCCTTCCAAAATGTCCTGACAGCTCACTGAGCAGCACAGCACACAATGGCTCCCTCCCAACTCCCACAGCTCCACTGCTTGCAACAGGGTTCTGGGCTACTACTAAAGAATAATGTGGCAAATTGAAATAAAACAAAACCAAAACCAAAAAAACACAACACCACGTACAAAACAAAACATATGGCTCATGGTAATGATTGGGAAGCCCACTAAGGATTAATGAATTTTGCAAATTAGCAAAGGAGCAACCAGGATTAAAGAGAAACAATCAACAACACTGAGATGCAAAACACTCTCTGTTCATTTATTTAGCAAAGTGTAGTTCTGCCTGTGCTGAAAGCACCTGATAGCTTACCAAAGAAGACAGAGTAATATATTTTGTAAAAGTAATTAAGCCTTTGAAATACGAGACCTCAGTACATCACTCAGCTGCTGCCGAGGAGAGGGATTTGACTCCCAAGTTGTTTGTGCTGTCAACAAGAGCGATCAGGCTCCCAGATTACTCCTGGGAGGAGGAGTGAGATTCTAGGAGTGCAGCAGGGCTTGGCTGCAAACCCACACCCCACTGCACAAGAGCCTCCCCTCGAAGGGAAATGGGAAATATTAAACAGCATCATTCAGAACACGCAGCAGGTAAAAAAATGTGCCTGGGAAAACTCTGGGAAGCCCCAGCCCAGCGTGTGCACTGCCTTCAGCCTCACAGGGAGAGACCCTCAGCTCAGGCAGGCTGCACCCCTGGCTTGCAAGTGAGGTTTGAGGATACCAAAAACCCCCATTAGACTCACTCCATCTTAAGAGACGAGTTTTAAACACAGAGTTCTTAACTCAGCAAAGAGGCCTCTTGCAAGATTATTAAGAACTGTGATTTGTGTCACTGCACACATCAGTGCAAAGACATTAGCAGCTATGAAGCCCACAGATATACTTGCATTTGCAGACACTGACTAATAACAAAATCAGCTTTCTTTAAAGATAGACAGTGCAAGGGCAAGGCTGCTCAGCACGCTTACTGAGCTGGAACTCAGACTTCAACATGCTTTTCCTCTAAATGACAAGAACTAAAGTTTTTGTAAGCACTTTGGCGCTTAAATGACACCAGTTTTATTTCCAGAAGCCTAGTTTTTATTTGAAGATAACTGAACAAACACTCCAGAGTCAGCTTTTAAAACACCCCTCAGACACTTCATATTGCATGTGCATTCTTTCTTAATTTAAACTCTGCATGCATAGGTCACTACAATTAAAAAGCTTTTCACTGCCACAGCTACTGTCTCAGCACTGAAGAGACAATATTGCAATCAAGCTTATGCTGAAGATTGTATAAGACAGTTACCCCCTGCCCAACCCTTTTATTAAACATTGTCTCAAAACACTAAATAAGCATGAGTATTTTTATCCAGTGCAGACTAAAGAGAAAGAAATACACAATCTTAGCATTTCTTCTTTCCAAAAAGGAAGGCTTTGAGGTCTGGAGTTACTCTGCTTCAGCAGGAGCCTCCCAGGGTATTATTAAAAACTCCCCAAACTTATGTGCTAAAAAAATTCGAGACAGCCAGCAGTCTGCCAGTGCTGTGATCTGCAGATCAGGAGGCAGGACCTGCATGCACAGAACACTCAAGCAGTTAGGGAGTTGTAAGCAATACAGATCATGGCTTTTTCTGCTTGTAAAGCAACCAAACCGCTTTGGGGACTTCTTGTTTGTTTTGATCGATGCATATTTATTCTGCACTTGTCACCCAGATCCTGCAGCACATATGGTAGTCACCAAGTCCCCTCTAATACCTTGGCTTAGCACTGTGTGAATTAAAGACAACAGTTTCAGCTTTAAAACTAAACTTCTAGTTTCATGTAGACACACCCCCCCCAGCACACTCACACTGTACACGTTACAAAAATTAATAAGCATATTAAAAACGTGCTTCTCTATTCCCAGCAAGGAACAGCAGGTGTGCTTTGCTAATTATGTCAGCTCCTAACCTGCTATTATTTACCAGTGTCAGGGAACTTAAGATGTAACAAAAAAAAAAAAAAAAAACCAAAAAAACCTACATACAGAAGTTTGAAATATTAGTGAAGCCATCACATTTGCTCATCCAAACAAGTTTATTTTAATAACTTTTGGCTCCTGAAAAAATCAACAGAAAGGAACATCCACACTTTGGGACTGTCACAGAACATTTATCCCGAACCTGACAGAACACATTCTCCACGCTGTCAAAAGTCAATTGTGGAGGAAAACACGTTCTGAATTAACACCCTGCGAGACCCAACCACGTAAAGACGCGCACAGACCCGCGACCTGAACACTACAGCTTTGTTTGAAAGTGAAACCAGGCAGGCTACAAATAATGCTCTATCCCCAGCGCCCAGGGAGGTGCCAAACCCAAACAAGAAGTATAAACGGAGGAGAAGGACGGCTGAGTTTTGAAGTTTTACATTTTATTATCGGTAGCATTATTTATAGCGTGACACTTCTATATATAAATCTGCGATCTGCGTTTCTTTTTACATCTAGAAAGCATATCAAGTTTAAGCAGCGAACCCTTGGGTTTCCATTTATTTGCAAAACTTTGGTAAACACCGGATATTTACACGAGCGGAGCAGCTGGGTGCACACACACACACACAAATAAATGCATGCGGACACGACAACACGCGAAACGCGCACTTTCCAGCCCATCACCCGTTGCCTGCTCAGACCTTTTCCCAGCTCCCAAGCCAGCGGCGGGGCCGGGGAAATGGCCGGAGCAGGCGGGCGCTGGCCCAGGGCTGGGGCCGCCCGGGCTCCGCTCCGCGCCCGACACAAACGCGGAGCCCGGGACCGCGCACCGGGGGCTGGAGGCTGCCTAGTCTCCCACCCCTTCCTCCGCGCTATTTTTTAAATTTTTTTTTTCCTCCTCTTCCCTCCGTTTTCAAGAGCGCCTGCAGCCCTCCTTTTCTTCGCCCCTAATTTTCCCCTTCAAAAGATGGCGGGCAGAGAGAGCGAGCGAGGGAAAGCGAGCGAGAGAGAGGGGGAAGAAGAAGAAAAACCAAAAAAAAAAAAAAAAAAAAAAAAGAGAAGAGAAAGAAAAGAAAGCAAGCCCGTCCTGCGTTGGGGCGCGGGGCTCGGCGGGGCCGCGGCTGCGGCCGGGGCGTCTTCGGGCGCTCGGCGAGAAGGGGAGGGGGAGCAGAAGATGGAGAAGAAGCGGCAGAAGAAGAAGAAGAAAAGGGTGGGCAGGAGCGGCGGGGCCGGGAGGAAATCAATGGCCAGGCTGCAGCCAGCCCCGCCGCGCTTTGTTACAATTGTGGCGGCGCACAAAGGCTGCGGGGCCGCGGGGAGCGACGCGGGGCTCTCGCAACAAGAAGGAGCAGAAGAGAGGAGGGGGAAAAAAATTAAAAAAAAAAAAAAATATCAGCGTTGGCCTTTCCCAAGTGGGTTTTGCTTTCCTCCCCCTTCTTCCCCGGCCCCCCTCCCTCCAGAAACCATGGCCCAGTGCTAGCAATGCACACCCAAGCATCTAACAAATAAAGGGAAAGATTAAATAGATTACTTTGCCCCGGCAGCTCCAGCAACGTTTGCCTTACAGTCCCTCCAGTTGCTCTTCTTTTTATCCTCGGCAAGGCAGTATAATAGATGCGCTACAGCGCCCGAGCGCTCATGCGCCGGGGCGCAAGGCCGTGTGGGCACCGTAGTCCCGGGCCGGGCCGGGGGAGAAGCGGCGGCCGCAGCCCGCACTACAAGTCCCAGAAGCCAGCGGGTCCCCCCCGGCCCCCCGCGCCCTCCCCGGAGCGGCGGGCAGGGGACGGGAACGGCAGGGGTGATGCCCCGGTCAGCGGGCGGCGGGGCCGCCCAACGCGACGTCCCCGGCGGGGGAAGCGGCTGGCGGGGCTCGGCGCGGGGGACCCGCGGCACGGAGCCGCGCCGAGGTGGCGGCGGGCGGGTGTCCCCCGGGCAGACATGGCCGGGGAAAATCCCGGCTTCCCCCGGCCGCCCGCGTCGCGCCTCCCGAGGTACGAGCAGAGGCTGAAAAGTGCGCCTGGAAACGCGCGTGGGACCCACGCGTGCTGCGGGAGGCCGAGCTGGAAATCACAGCTGCTCTCGCCCCCTTTTTTTTTTTTTTTTTTTTTTTTTTTTTTGTGTTGTTTTGTTTGTATTTTTTTTTTTTTTAATCGCGGTTTGCATTGGGTAATGCGCTCTCGGCAGGTATTACGCAACAACTAATACGAGCTGCAATAAAAATAGCCCGCCGCCGATGCACGCTGGAGTAGCGAGCGGCCAAAAAAAATCCATCAAGAAAACCACAGCCCGATGTAGTTTGCACTGGTTGGTGTGTTTCATAACATTGTCAACTGCTGAAAACAACAAAAATTAATCTAACGTATACAATAAAAACAATGTGAATTTCACCAGCACAACATAAAAGCATCAACAAACATCAGCGCTGTTAAAAACACTTCCAAGTAACAGACACACAGAGCCCATGTCCTAAAGCAAATCCACAACTGCAAACAGAAGTTTAAAAAAATTGTTATAAGCCAAAATATGATTGAATTGCTGCAGAAAAAAAAAAAAATATAACAGAGCTATTGGAAAATAAATGAGGGGAACATTTGAGTGCCAGTGTGGAATAAGGCAGAGTGAGGGGATTTCTCTGTGGACACGTGTGCCAGCAGAGGCTGCCACGCTGCTGGTTCAGACAGCCACATGCTGATGCCAATTAATATGTCAGTTTATTGCAACCATAAGGTGAAGGCAGTTTTACTAAAAGACCTTATTTCCAGAAGATTAGCTTTAGAAAAACACGACCAATGGGACTGAAATTTCTCCAGAGGTATGATATAATCAGAAAGATTGTACAGGCTTAAGAGAATTCCATTTAGCCAGGCTTGCAGCTGCCTCAGGATGGAACCAATATTGTGCACATGCCTTAGCCAAACTTCCCCAAAAAAGGGCTTTTTGGCACTCAGCTTCAAGGCTTGTGCAAATTCAGGAACCAGAGACTTGCTCACAACTCTGCCACTGTTGGATGTATTTACTAAGGCAGCATTTGCTGTATCTGCATCAACACCCAAACCCCACTCCAGGTGAGTGTGTGAGACCTGGCCTTCCTTCCTGCCAGCTGACCCTTTTGACTTGACCAGCAGGTACCCCAAAGACTCCACCCAGAGCACATGGTCTTTGCAGGAGCACAAAGCATGAAAGCAGTAAGAAAAAAATTACATTCTGGGTCTACTTAAGGAGAACCACCTTCACGAGCTAGGGTTCACAAGCCTGATTGCCAAAAAGAGAGGAAATCCCTTTGAAACACCACCTGAACTCTGCCCTGCCCACAAGTGTCCTGAAGTCCAGATACCTGGGAGTAGGGGGAAGGACTTGGAGCACTTTTTACCATTGTTCTGCTCTAAGCCCATTTTCAAGGCAATCTAAAACACCACAAGTGTATGACAGCATTCGAGTGCTGAAGGGAGCCAGGGCAGTTCTTTTGGTGTCCCTGATCCCACATGGATAACCACAGTAGGAATTCCTGAATGCCATAACATAGACAGACACCAAATCATGAGCATGACCAAAGAGCCCCTAAATAAAAACTGCTGCAGCTCTAGGCATGGGGGCTGGGAAAAGTTGGCAGCTGAAGCTTTCCAAGGGAGGGGGCAGGGAGAAATGGGCTGAGTATTCATTATGAACACTTGGAAAAATGGACTCCATGCACTCTAAAGACTCCTTTTCAGCTAAACCATAATCTGAAAGCTTGGATTTTAAAAGTATTTATATTTTAGTTTAAGACAAACTCCTGCAACAAAAGAAGTGTTGGCTGCAATGTGAGACTTGGCAGAGCCACAAGGAACTGAACAGGGGTCTCCTCATGTAAAGTGTTCAGCAGCCCCAGCAACAGACACAGAGCACAACAGCAGAGCAGAGAGCAAGTGGGGAGTGAGGCAGAAAGGCAGAGACAAGAGAAGCCAGAGAGTAGAAACTCTGTGAGAGCATGAAACTCTCCAAGCTAGCAGGGCACTCACCTCACAGTGAATGGGCACAAGTTCAATATTGGAGTTTGATCCTCACTGCAAATCCACTGTCAGGAGCACGATGATGAAGAGTGCAATAAAAAATTAAATCATGCATCCTTTTGGGTTGCATGAAAACTGCAACCCAAAAGGAGTCTCCAGTTACACCTTATCTGCCTTATCTCACCCAGGGTGGGTGTAAGAGTTTCATCCCAAATTGTCATGTTCATTATGCAGCAGGCTGAGCAGGCAAAACAATTCACGTGGGAAACTGTCCCCAGAGATTTCACCACTATCAGCTTTCAACCTGGAACACAGCAGTCACTCACACACCTACCTGTAGGCCTGCAGACTTGTGCTTGAAGAACCCTGCTGCATCCTCCAAGGGATTAGGAAAGCAAACATATTTTGGGATCCCTAAAGCCTTCTTTATGCAAGGCAGTGAGTTTAGATAATGGTTTAGCCAAACAGGCACAGGCTGACTCAGTTTGAATAAGCCCCTTAGGAGGTACAGTGAAATCAAATCAGAACAATTTAAGCTCAAGTTACCAAAGCCAAAGTAAAAGCACTTCAACCGAGGAAGAGTTGTAATCTTTAAATTAAATTCTGAACTGATTTTGTCACACAGTTTCATGCACAAGATGTAACAGGCTGCCTCTTCTGAGACACCTTAACACCAGCTTCTCCATAAAATAGAAACCTACAGCAGCAGCTCTTTATTTTCTCCTGCTCCCCAAGCTCAGAGGAGCATCCTAGATTCACCCAAAGCTTCTCAATTGGCCTCTGTGGTCTTTTATGCTGTACCTCCAGTTACCCAATTAGTGTCTTATTAATGAACACCTGCCATGTATTTATTCCTGGCTGTTACAGTACTTTTAACCTGTAATGCCCAGTGGTACCTACATCCATCTCAGAAGCTTTGTGCACAGGCTTCAACAAGAAAAATGTTATTTGTGCAAAACCAGAGTGGTTTTCAGGGCTGTTAAACACTGGCACTTTCTGCCTCTCTGCTCATGGAGTGGAGTGTTGGGTGTTTTGAAACCAAAAGGGGATGGAAGCAGAAGAGGAGATACTTTGTGGGACAGATGAGTTTTGGGAGGATGGGCCACACTCAGCCTTGTGTGGCTGCACTCAGCAGTATTTAGCAGGAATCAGAGACTGCTGGGAACACCAATTTTTCTGATCTTTGCCATAGGTACTTTGTGCAAGCTTCTGATTTTTACCTGTACCTTTTCCACTATCAAAACCACAGATTCCCACTGCAAGGGGAGATTACATGACTCAGATCACTCCAGTGTCAGGCAGAAGGGTGTTGAACACAAGGGGATAAATGCTCTTATTACAACAGAGAGTCATCTTTTCCAATGATCATCTTCAGTGTAGTGGCAGGATTTCCTCGATTGAGTAAGTGTTATTCAGTAAGTTAAGGATGACAGGATTAGGGCAGAGGTTTGAAACAATAATTGCAGTTTGTTCTTCTGTAGTACCTTTCATCTGTGGAATTCACAACAATGCAATAATCCTCCTAACAGCTTTTGTAAGTAAGGAAATATTATGACTCCTGTTTTTCAGCTGAGGAAGCTGAGAGGGAATATGATGATGCAGAGAATCATGGGCAGAGGCAGAATTGGGACTCAGCTCTTCTGACTCATTCTTTGTAGTTCTGAGAGCCTGGACACACCAGTTGGTGAGGCCACCCTGGCTTCTCACTCCCAGGAATGTCAGTGCCTGCAGGGCTTTCAGATCCTCAGTGTTCCCTCTGCATCTGGAGAGGGGTGAGCAGAGCCCCCAGACTGGGAAGCCAAGAGGCAGGATGTCCACAAGTCCCAAAAGGCACAGGAATGTGCTGTTTGAAGGGAAGACAGGAAAGAATTGAGCAACCTAAGACCTAAAGGATCTTGTATAGGTTTATCAAAGTGGAGTTTTGATTGTGATCTGAATGGTGCTCTGGAGTCAGCCAATATCCAGTGGAGGGTCCAGAGGAGATTTAAATAAAGTTCTTCCAGACTGGAAGTTCTCAATCCACTGAAGCAGAGATGAAGTGTTTTCACTGCAATGGACAGGAAGGACATGAAGAGCCCACAAAATCTTCTGTGTGACTATGATGTGTCTTACCAGGAGGCAGCAAAAAGCTTTATTTGGAGGAGCTGGAGACTGGCATACAGTGAGGCAAGATTTATATGTAAAGAAAGAGGCAGAGCAAAGGCCTAAACTGTTGTGAGAGAGAAGGACATGAGCACAGAATTTGGGAATGGAAAAGAAACTGCCCAGCCAACATTGCTACATATCTTTGGCCATAGTTAAAAACGTTCCTTTGGAAATTACCTGCATCTGAATGGTTTTGTTGGACATTCAGTGTGATGTGAAGACCCAGCACCTGCTGTGAACAGAGTGTTTGCACAGGTAAGCAAGGCTGTGAATGGTGTGTGTTACTGAGCTGGCAGTTTAAACCAACAGACACTGGAACATGCCAGACTTCAGCTGGCCAAAGCCCCAAAGGATTCCTCTGTGTTTCCTTGCTTTTCCTCCTGCCCCCTCACAAAGACTGGAGAGAATGGCAGAGAGATCCTCTAACAGTAACACCTTCAAACACCTTGATCTGTAAATGACAATGAGTAATAAATAGATTTCACTAAAACTATTTCAGGGGTGTGAATGAATTGTATTGAACTGGCCGCTCGCTGTGGCTGCAGCCAAAGAACAAAGCTCCTGATTCACACAAGTGCTGAGAACCTGCTGCTCCAGTTGAAGTGGCTGGGAGAGGCAGGCTGTCATCACGTCTGGCAGTCAGAGCGGGCGTGACTCAGGCTGGGCTCTCAAATCAGCAGCCTCTGTGCATTAACCTGGCTGGGGCTGGCACTGAGGGGAGTTTGTGCTGAATCAACGGCACGTTGCAGGATTCCAACCCTGTGGGAAGTCTGACCTGCTCTTCAAAATCATGTTTCTTACCAGGTCTTTACTAACAAGGGTTTGATACGTGCAGTGTTCAATGATCTTACGCTGAAATGAGTTCTTCAACTTCTTCCAGGCCCCTCATGCCTGGATTAAGTGTTTGTACACATCCCTCCCAGGGCAGGAAGATTCCAATCCTACCTGCTCTCCTCTGGGCTAAGATTTCCTAGCTTTAAATGAACAAATGTTGGCAATGATGCAAGCAAGACTTAGAGTGTAGTGGGGGAGGTAGAAATATCATCCTGGAAAAGGTTCAGTGTTTGTTTTTACATCCCAGAAGAAACATATGAATGTGATGTATCTGGGATTTAGGGGGAAAAAAAAAACCAGAACAGCATGTTAGGAACCACCCAGAAACAGCTCTGTGTCAGGGATCAGCTGCTCTTTAGAAGCCTAAAAGATGCAGCAGGTCTCTCCTGAGTTCTTCCTCCCTGTTTCTGGAGCAGAATGTAACACACAGCGAGTCTGTTCTGCACTTCCTCTGTCTGCTGAGGGGCCCAAGCAAATACAAATGTGAGCTGAGATTGCTAATTGTGCCAAAACATAAACATGGGCTCACACAGCTTGTGAGCTCCGTGTGTGATTACTCACCACTACAAATGTAAGCACGAGCTGGCTTGCAGCAGGCAGGTCTAAAGATCAGGTCCAGGCTGTAGTGAAGTTCCTGAGAGCTTTTCCACAAACAATAACGTCCTTTGGATCAGCTCTGCAGCTCAGGGTTAGCTCTGGCCTCGGTGCAACCTGGGACAAAATCACACACATTGGTCACAGCAGGAGCCACGGCCTCAGCTCCTGACACCCTGGAAAGCACCCAAAGGGACCCCAGTAACGCTGGGAGCAGCCACTTCCTTCCAATCTGAGCCATTTTCCTCTCCCTTTCATCACCATGGGAAGCTGATTTCCCACAAAAACTTCGGACAGGTGTCTTTCCCAGTGCACTTGGCACATCCCCAAATTCAGGCCGTTTGGAAGCAAAGGGAATGAAAGATTTGGTGAGGGAGAAGCCTGCCAAGCTCCAGGCTTTTCCAGAGTTTGGACAGATGTCACATCCTGCTGATCCCAGCTGTGGAAGCCTGGCCAGGGGAGTAAGAAAGACCCGCACAGATGACTCATAACCAGCAAGTGAAATTTAATCCAAATTTTTGTCTGTGCAGAGCCCTGGGGATGTTCTGCAGTCCCAAAGAAATGCCCCTGCTTGTGCTGTTTCTGAAAGCTCCATGCTGTCAAAAACCCAGCCTGGCATGGAATCAGGTACTTAATGGAGTTTATCATACTTTAAACTAGTTTAAAAAAACATCCAGGACACTTAGAGGCTAAGAGGTTGTTTAGGATTACACTTACTTTGTAGTCAAGGCTACATTTTTCAGGTTCCACAGAGGTATTACTCACAGCAGATAAGGATTTTTATACATGCACATAGATGTTTTCTACACACATATATTTATATGTATTTTCTACACATACAGAAAAATATCAGGCAAAAATTCCCAAAGCAGACACTGAGAGGCAAAATACAAACTTATCTCCAACATGAAAAACAAAAAACACCCTGCCACAAGGAAGTTCTATAAATAGCATTATACTGCTGATTTGCATTCTCCCATTTTATTTCATATTGTTTAAAAGACTGAAAACATTAAGCCAAAACCATCTGCAAGAATCAGCACCAGGAATTTTACTGGATTTGTTCCCTAATATTGTTCGGGTGACTGTGCAGCTCTTCTGTGTTTTACCTCCCTGAGTTTAGAGGGCAGGACTAATTCTCCAGATTTCTGCTGCAGGATTCCAGGCTGGAGGAGAAGGGCCTTGGCTTCACTACACCACAGTTTTTTTTTTTTTTTTCATCTTTTCCTTTCTCAGCTGCCACTAGAATTTTTGGAAGCCAAATATCTTCCTGTGTTAAAGGGCCAGTGAATGACACACGTCTCCTTTGCTTCCCTCTTAACTGAAAGCAGACTGCAACGTGTGGGTTCAGAAATAACCCACTGCTCTCCAGAGAAGTGCTTCAACACATGTTTAACTCTAACTGGGCTGTTTGGCCTTAATAAATTAAACACTTTTCTGAGTCAGGGCTTTTTGTGTGACAATACGCTGAGAAAACCCCCTTGCCTCAGATACCCTCTCGGTGTTAATTAAAATGGCTCAAACATCAGCGTTTAGAGTCACAGCATCACTTGGGTTGGGAAAGACCTCCGGGATCGTCGAGTCCAACCTTTGATTGATCATCACTTTGTCAATTAAATCACGTCGTCGATGGGGACTCCGCCACCTCCCCGGGCAGCCCCAATGTTTAATGTTTCCCCTTGATCCAGCGTTTAACACCACTTTTCACGAAGAAATTCCCACTGATGTCCAGCCTCAACCTCCCCAGGCGCAGCTTGAGGATGACTCCGCGCTCCCTGCCGGGGAGAAGAGCCCGACCCGCACCTTACAGCCGTGCTTATGGATATTACAGCCATGATATAGCCATTATTATAGCCATGACTGCCGTGTGAATGGGCCTGCCCTTCTCACAGCCGCTTTTATCGCTCTACATCCAACGGGGCCGGCTGCGGTCGCACCCCAACGACACCTAACCCCCTCCAGCCCAGCTCAACGGCCCCCGGGCGACGGGAGCAGCGCCGTGCCCGCCCGATCCCGGTGTGTACGAGCCCGCTTCCCACACAGGAACGCCACACCGGCAAGGACGCGGCCCGCACGGGCAGGGCGCTCCCCTCAGCGGGCGGGGAACGGCAGCGGGCGCTGGGAGGGAGGGAAGGAGGGAAAGCAACGAAAGGAGGGAAAAGAGAGAAAAGAGGGAAGGGAAGGGAAAAGAGGGCAGGGAACCCCCTATTCCCCATCCCCATCCCCCGGTAAGTCACCGAGAGAAAGAGCGAGAGGGGCGAGGCGGCGGCGGCTTCTCCCTCCTGGAAAAGAGGGCAGGGAAGGGGCGGGCACGACGCCGCGGGGATGGGCTCCGCCCGAGCGCGCACTCGCGCCGCTCTTTTGGCTCTCGGGCCGCGCCGTAGCGCTCCCGGGAGAGAGCGGCATTGTGCGGCCTCCGGCCCGCTCCGCGCAGGCGCCGGCCCGCATTCCCCGCCTGGCGGACCCGGACCCGCCGCGTCCCCCCCTCCCCTCCCGCGGCCGCGCTCCTCCCCACGGCCGTGGAGACCCCTCAGCGACCCCCTCCCCACATTCGGGGTCTCCCCTAGCCGCCCCCACATTCCAGAGCGAGGGAAGGGCCGTGGGGACCCCTCAGCCACCCCCTCCCCACATTCCAGAGGGAGGGAAGGGCCGTTCGGGGCTGGGGGGGCTCGGGGGGTGTTTTCGGTACCGCGGGGGATGCGCTGGGAGCCCCCCGGGCGTGGAGCCCGGCCGGGCCCGGCAGCGATGCTGCGGTGGTTTGGCAGCGCGCTGCGGGCTCGCCCGAGTTGCCACATGAGTTCCAGATGAAAAGGAATTGGGATCTGCGTCAGGAAAGTTTAATTTCTTCTTGTGGCCCTCAGATTGGCCGGGGAGTGTCCCTGATTGGGGATAGTCAGGATGCAGTTCTGTGCCATGTGCTCTGGGATGACCCTGCTGGAGCACAGGAGCCGCTGTGCTCCCTTCCAGTCTGGGATTCTGGGATCTCCCCACACCCAGCACAGCCGGCAGGCAACTGGTAGCGCCCTGCTCTGCACCCTCTCGGGAAGGAGATGCTTGGAATGCCGCTGGATCCTGGGTGCAAACGCTCTCGTTGCCGAATGTGCTGCCAGCAGCAAAAGGAGCTGCGATGTGGCAAATGCACTTAGCAGGCAAATCCTGCCAGTGTGAGCCGGGGGTGATTCTGTTCCCGAGCTGAAATGTTGCTGAGCTGCAGTGGAGATTTGTTCCCTCTGCAGCATCAGCCCCGATTACGGAATCCTGGCACTGCACTCCAGCAGGTCTTGTTACAGAAAGCGAGTCTGGAGAGGCTGATCCAAGGCTGCTGCCAGTCAGGGGGAGGTCTTGGGTGGAGAAGGGGATGGTTTGATGCTCAGACCTTTCAGCAGGGAAATATGATACCAAAATATTTTCATTCTGAGGTGAAAGGAATCTAGTCAGGTCATAAGCTTTGCAAGTACCAGTTATTTTGTTTGTTCATTATCATCTGGTATTCTCTGCTTTAATACATTAAAACAGAAATGCTTTGGACTGTTCCTTCCATCTTCATGCAAGCTACGGTATTTACCCTGTGCTAAGTACTTGTTACAAGTGCTTTGGGGTCTGTGATCTGAAAACCCTGCCACACCTCAAAGCTATTGTGCTGTACTTCTGCATGGAAAAAGCTTTCCAAGGAGTGATCAAAGGCTGTGGCTTGAGTTCTTGGTCTTGCACATAAGTAGGTCTGAAGGCCTAAAATACTGCTGTGTTGCTCAACAGATAATAAATAGGAGGTTTCATACTGGTTTCTGGCAACCTGCACTTTGACCAATCTCACTCTTGTGCATGCTGAGAATCTTTTTGACAGCTAATGAGAATATTTTGTTTTTCTTCCAGGTTTTCCTTTCAGCGTGGTTCTCCTCTCGGTGGCAAGAGCTGCCTTTTGAAGCAGCACATTCATTCTCCCCTTCAAGCACCCATAAGTCTCATTTGCCAGCTCCAGAACCATGGCAACAGAAGAAAAGAAGCCAGATGCAGAATCCACCAAAACACAATCTACTCCTTCCTCCTCGACCAATCAGAGCAAGGTGTGTGTGGGGCCCCAAAAAAATACCCCTGTAAAAAAACACCTGGAACTACCTGAACACTCAGCAGCCAGACCAGAATCAGGGATTTGAATTTTCCTGTAAATTAAGATCTTTTCCATGTGGCTGCTTCTGCTGTTGTCTTGTGCTGAGGATTTTATGGGAAAAGTGGATGGAGTGCATCTCTGCTGTAGTGCTGAGTGTTCTTTTATTGGTTTTGGGGAAGTTCTCACTAGTGAAATACTTCTTGTCATTTTGATCATGACAAAGGCTGTTTGTTTGCATCCTTGGAATGCCTGGAGGTGGCTGGAGAATTGGTGAATCTCTAGTTGTGGAGTGGGGAAACAATTATTCAGGTTCTTTGAAGCCTGGAGATGCTCAAAGGAAGTGTTATTGTCTAGCCTTTGCAAAAGGTAAAAGTGGGATTTTAGAGGCAGGGAGGAATTGGCCTGTGGTTTAATTCATGATCAGGGTGAAAATGCAAACTCTTGAAAGCACTGCACAGCTCAATATCAAGAGTGTCACTTGGAAGTGCCAGGCACTTTGTGGTTGGGCTGCTGGATTATTCTCTCCTGTTGGTTACTGGCTTGGGTGAAATTTACCTCAGGGGTGACTTGGTGTTGTGCCCAGACTGAAAGGGTGTTTGGTTTGTTTGGTTTTTGAATTTGCAGGGGAATGGGAATGTAAATGTGATTTAATGCTGGAATCTGTTATGGTGAGCATCCACGTGGTCCATTCCCCTGTGCTGATCAGAGCTGCCCACTGAGGTACTCAATTTGGAATTTAACTCATTCATACATATTTTTCTTACAGCCTGCCCCAGTAAAGCCCAACTATGCTCTCAAGTTCACGTTAGCAGGACACACAAAGGCAGTGTCATCAGTCAAGTTTAGTCCTAATGGAGAGTGGCTTGCCAGCTCCTGTAAGTATTGCTTGCTTTTGTCTCATTTCAAGCACAAATGAGGGCCTTGAATAAGTGCTTGTCTGCAGCCTCCATCAGGGACAGGAGGGATGCCGTGTCATGACATGGTTTTTCTTGAAAGAGTGATAGCAAAGCTGTCACTCTTTGAGATAATTTGATTGAAGTTCTGTTACTTTGAGCACTGGGTGTTTGCATTGCCAGGAGAGCCCTCACCTGTTCAGCTTTCCTGACTGAACAAATGGGCAAAAACCAGCACAGGATTCTTTTCTGTGCAGAGGAAACCCTTGTGCTTTTCTCTATCACTACAAGTGAACATTTAAAATAAACTTTATGCACAGTATCTGCAGGCAAAACTTTCCTGTGGGAAATAAGGAAGGTGCTGCAGAGTTGGATGCACATGCTCTGTCCTGTGTGCCTTGGTGCTTGGCACTCAGAGCTTTGATTGCCCCAGTGAAGTGCAGAATTGTTATAAATGTGTTTCACTGCTTGCTCTCTTAAGTGATACAACAAGTCTCCTTTCTGTCAGCTTTGGTATTTCCTAAGGGTTTCTTTGGTGTTCAGCACTGCTTGACAGCTTTGTCTTGAAAATGTGCTTCTGTCAGTGATCCAGAGAGAATCCATGTGTAAGGAAAGGGCAGCTGGAAATGTTGAATATGACAGTGAGGGTCACTGGAACACCTTCCAGACATGGGAATGGCTTGGGGCTTTGACTTAACTGCATACAACCTCAATAAAACCAGTGCACTGGGCCATATAAATCATTCTTAGGGTGTCCCCATCAGAGTCCACCTCCCCTTTTCCCTGAACGTGTTTTCCAAACTCTATATCTGGCAAATGGCAACTTTTTGCTCTGGCTTGTTTTGCAAGTTACCATGGATAGTATGTTTGGGTTCCTGCAGGCATCCATTCAGTCCAGCTTGTGGTGTAATTATTGTTCTTTTTGGGGCAAAAGCCTTTCAAGCATTCCCATGAACCAGCACTACTTTTACCACTGGCAATCTAAAACAAAAGTAGAAACCCAAGTTGTCAAGAGAGAAACTAAAGCTGCTGGAGTCTCTCTGCATTCCAGGCAGCTTATGTAACCTCAGCTGCTGCAGAGTGCTGTGTAGGAAGCTGTTCTTCACCAATTCAGTATCACCTTCTTCCCTGAGGTCTGCCTGGGGAGGGAGAGCTGCCCCAGAGACAGAGTTAACTTATTTCCTTTCACCTGGAAGGGACAGCTCTGGTACTGCTGTTAATTAACCTCTGAACTGGCACATTCTTTTCCAGCTGCTGACAAACTCATTAAAATTTGGGGAGCGTATGATGGCAAGTTTGAAAAAACAATATCTGGTCATAAGCTGGTAAGTATGAGGTGATTACTGTGGGAATTTACCTGGGAAGAATTTTGTTTTCTTTTCCTCATTCAGAAATTTCCATTCTTGGTTAGTTCTACCTGTGCAGAAGGTTTGTTCTTCAGTCTTTTGTAGTTCTTGTGTTAATATAGTCCTGGAATTGCTGGATTAATATTGGGGCAGGCTGCATTCCCAGTGCCCAGCCTGCTTCTTGTGTCCCTGAACTGCAGGAGAACCCACCTCAGACACGGGGCAGAGCATTCCTGGGTGAAAATCCCTGTGAATTCTAACACTCTGTCCTGTTCCATCTTTCCTTTGTGTAAGGAACAAAACACTTGCCTTTTAAGGAGATTGAATTTTTCTTGTGGGTTTGCCTACATAAACACAACACTTACTCATTCTGCAAAGTTCTTAAGAAAACACAAAACTTCCAAGCCCTTTGGTTTTCCTTTTCTTTTTTTTTTTTTTTTTTTAAGTTTTTACATGCTGAAGTTTCATGAGCAAAAATGAAGATTTATCAAAAGAAAAACCACTGGAATCTTCTCCAGCCTCTGGGGACTTGGAGTGTAAAGAGCAGTTATTTGCCACGAAGAAAAGCCATTTACTCAGATTAATTTATGAGGATTCTATTTAGGAATTCCAACAAAGGGTTTTGGTGACCACAGTGAGAACTGTGTGAACGAGCTAGTGATGTTCTCAGAGTATGTGGCTCAGCTTAAAATTAACTTGTGCCAGAGGAGCTCTTAACCAGCAAAATCACTGAATTCCTGACTCTGCTGAATTTTCATTCAAGCTTCAGCTGGGAATGTAATCTGCAGTCTGTGTTTTCCACTTTTCTGTGTGGCTGAACAAACAGAGCTGAGAAGAGAATTGTTTTCCTTTGTTTTAGGGGATCTCTGATGTTGCTTGGTCATCAGATTCCAACCTCCTTGTCTCTGCCTCTGATGACAAAACTCTCAAAATATGGGATGTAAGCTCGGTAAGGACAGGAATTATTATTTATTTACCTTCATTTTTCTCCAACATTGGCTTCTTCACTTGTGTTCCTGCTTGTAACAAGCTGGTGGATGGGCTGTGAGGATGAATGAATTGTGCTGTCTGCTCTTTGAAGGAGTGGGATGCTTGTGGATACCACGAGGAGCCTGTTATGCTCTGAGAGAGCACTAAAGCCTGATGATTCACATAGACCCACAGCAAAAAGCCTCTCAGATTAAACCTTTTTGTAACTTCTTATTTCTGCTTTTTTTTCCCCCATTCTCTTGTGACTGAGAGAATTTGGTTGAGTTTTGATTAGGAATATTAAATGGTTTGGATCCTTCTGAGCTGCATAAAGAGTTTACACCTCATCTGCAATCATTATGATTGTTTTATATTTTTTTCTTTCCTGTTTTGTTGCAGCTGGCCCTCTGCCCAGCTAAATCTGGGGTTAGAGATGGTTTCTTTCTGTGCTGCACAGTGATTAACCTTAATGTGCTCTCTCTGGATGCTTTTATGGTGCTGGGTGATGCTGTGTATTTAACTCTGCTGAATTTTATTTCAGGGTAAGTGCTTAAAGACATTGAAAGGGCACAGTAACTACGTTTTCTGCTGCAATTTCAACCCTCAGTCAAACCTCATCGTTTCTGGCTCAGTGAGTGGTTTTTAATTTTTTTTTCCTTTGTGGGAAGCACACTCTGTCACTTGTCACTAAAGGGACAGACAGGTTCTTTAGGGATCCTTGGCAGAATGATGATGGTGTTAAATCATAGTTACAATTACAGCTTTATTTTCTTAACAGATTATTATGATTAGTGTAGCACACTAATTTATGATTAGAATGGCACAGGATTTCTGCAGGCAGGATTGATGTAGTACAATTTATAAGTAGTGAATACAGAATTTATGGTACAACTTATGGTTTCTAATCACCTGGATTCTGACTTACCTAAAGGATGACTTCTAATCACCTCTCCCTCTGCAGATTGGGTCAGATCATGGGTTGAAAACAGTATTAAATCAAAGAATATGAATCACACAGCCCATTTCAATTGTGTTTCCCCCCACAGACACAGCTTGTAGTCAGGTGAGCTGTGCATTGCCCCTGCTGTATTTGCTTGGGGAAAAGCCCCTAATCCATCCTCAGTGTCCTACATGGACACAAGGAGTTCAGGGGGGTGTTCCCAGACTGTTGGTTGTGTCCTGGGCTTTCTGAGCCAGCTGGGCTAAGATTCCTGCTGTACCTGAGTGCCTCAGTCAGTGCCTGACTGATCCCCCTGGTGCCTCTCTTGCCTCCCCAGTTTGACGAAAGCGTGAGGATATGGGATGTGAAAACAGGGAAGTGCCTCAAGACGTTGCCTGCTCACTCTGACCCAGTTTCAGCTGTAAGTCCCTCCTGATCAGTGAAAATCACAAAAATGCTTGTTTTTTTTAGCAGAGCTCCTCTCCTGCCCCTCCTGGGGTGAGTTTGTGCTGTTACCGAGCCCTTGCACAGCGTCCAGGCTGGGCTGTGGTTTTTGCCAGTGCTCAGTGGGAATGAAATGAGTGGTGTTTTCTCTAAGATCAGTGTGGATTTTGGTCCTGGTTGTGATTGTGAGTAGTGCAGAGGTGTGCCAGGCATGCCTGAGTGTCATTCTGGGACACTGATTTGTGGTACTTGATGCTCAGAGAACAGTCTGTATTTCTCTTGCTTTTGTGTTGTTCCAAGTCATTACTGAAGGTGCTCCACAGAACACTCCTGTTATAAATCTCAGTCATTTTGGGCTTGGAATACAGCAATATCCATTGGAATTAAGGAAAACCAGAAGGTGTTCAACTCTTAATGTCATTGAAATGAAAAAAAATCTGAGCCTCAGATGTGTTGAGCTGTGGCTGTTCTAACATGGTTGTTCTGCCATTTGTAAAAGATATTTCACACTTAGGAATGTCCTTTAATAGTAATAATCCTAAATAATTATTTTTAGATATAAATAGCAGAAAATTCACCTTAAAACATATGAGTGGCTACATAAGAGGTTCTATTCCATGCCCTTAAAATAATCAGGTTCTACCTGCATGTTTTATTCTGTTATGTGTTCCATGTCAGAAATGGAAAACAAGGAGCTTAAACACTTGATCTTTATGAACACCAGTAAAGTTATTAGTTTTAATAATTAATTAATATTACAGGTGCATTTTAATCGTGATGGATCCCTGATAGTGTCAAGTAGCTATGATGGACTCTGGTAAGTTGTCTGCATCACTCTTTGAACCTTTTGCATGTTAAAAATACTTAAAACAAAACCTTGTATTTGTAATGTTAAAATTGGAATAAAAAACTTCAAGGCCAATAATGATTATTTTTGTGTGTTTTTAACAGTCGTATCTGGGATACAGCATCAGGCCAGTGCTTGAAAACACTGATTGGTAAGTAGAAATATTTCTTGTCTGGGCTGTATTTTTCACACAGATTTTCTGTGTTTCAGTGAAACTATTAAAAACAAATGAATGTCAAACCCTCTGTCAGTGAGACAACACAGCTGTGCACTTTGTAACACTGCTTTTGATTTTGCTGTAGATGATGATAACCCTCCTGTGTCTTTTGTGAAGTTCTCACCAAATGGCAAATACATATTAGCTGCAACTTTGGACAAGTAAGTATTAAAAAAAAAAAAGGAGAATAACACACAGATTTGAAATTTGGAGTATCAGATGATGCTTTAATTTGCTTTTTGGCTGCCATAATATAATGATAATACATGACTTCATATACAGTGTTTTCCATGGAGGAGAAAATGAATGGCATGACAGTAAAATTGATATTTTGGGGTTAACTAACCCTGCATTCCAAAGCCAGGCTAAAATGATCCATGTAGACTTTTGGAACTCTGGTATGGAGAAACATTTTTCAGCTGCTAGGAACTTTTATATAAAAAAGAAATCCAAGAACTAAAATCTTTGTTTCTGTTTTCCAGCACTCTTAAACTTTGGGACTACAGCAAAGGAAAGGTAATTCTTTCTATTTATGTAGACTTAACTAAGCTTTTAGGAAAATTGGATTTTACATGTGATTTTTAAACAGTACCTCTTTAGTGGAGAGGATAAACTTTTAGCAGTGCCTGTTGCAACAGGACAAGGGGTGGTGGTTTTAAACTAAAAGAGGATTCAGGTTAGAAAGTTCCCTGTGAGTGTGGGGAGGCCCTGGCAGCTGAGGCTGCCCCTGGATCCCTGGAAGTGCCCAAGGCAGGTTGGAGGGGCTTGGAGCACCTGGGATAGTGGAAGGTGTCCCTGCTCATGTCAGACCTCTAAAGGTCCCTTCAAACTGTGCTGTGATTCTGACTAAAAATGTCTTTGAAAAGAAAAAGAAAATACTTGCCTTCTAGATAGCCCTGAGACATTAAGTACAGTAATATTTCTGCATTTTTCTCTTCATGAACAATAAATTGCCTTTGATCTCTTTCACTGTTGTAACGGGGAAATTTAGGGCTCTGTTTTGGGTTTTAGAGCAGAGCTGCACTCTGCATCCTCTAGCACCCTTTTTGGCAGGGTGAGAATCACAGTGTTTAGTGTTTTTTCCTAGAGAGTTTGTCCTTGACTGAGAAAACTCCCAGCTGCATTAATGTCCTGTGGCTCTTCCCTTCCAGTGCCTGAAGACCTACACAGGACACAAAAATGAGAAGTACTGCATATTTGCCAATTTCTCTGTCACCGGTGGAAAGGTTGGTGTTCTGATTATTTTTTGTTTCCTGTGTGCAGCTTTTACTGCTCATCTCTGTAGATAAAAGAGAATTTTGGGGCTGAAAACTTCTTTTGGTGGGTGCTGGTTCCTGTGTCTCTTGGTGGGCTCACTGTCAGGTTTCCTGACTTCTCCTCCTCCCTTTGACATGACAACAATGAAAAGTTTACTTAGAAGTAGCACTTGGATGTGGATCAGAAAGATTCAGATGACTTTGTTTTTTCTCTGCTCTTCCAGTGGATTGTGTCTGGTTCAGAAGACAACCTGGTTTATATCTGGAACCTTCAGACAAAAGAGATTGTACAGAAACTACAAGGACACACAGGTGAGAGAGGATTCTGGTTTTATTGGTAAAATATCCCTCACATCATCAGTGCTTAGCCTGAGCATTTTCTCTCTGATTTTGACCAATTTTGACTCTTAGGCCCATAAATTCTTGACTGGCTGAAGCTTAATTGAGCCCTGGGAGTTTTGCTCCTTTTTATGGAGGGTTTTTATGGGCATTGAAAATGTTTTCTGTTTCACCTGTGAGAACTTTGACATCGTCTTGCAAAGGAGATTTGCTTGAGCACAGAACTGGTCAGGATATTTAAATGTATAACATTAATCATAACATTAGTGACTGTGAATGGTCTGTTAGCACCTTCCAGAGCTGCAGCTCCCAAGGATAAGGATTGATGTAGGCTGGAAATGTCTGTGCAGGTGCCTGGTCTTGAACCACGAGATGTCACCTGCTGGGTACCTCAGTCTGAGTCCTGTAAAAGAGCAGAGTGGAACTGAAATCTCAGCATGCTCAGTCCTTTGCTTTGGGCTGGATCCCACTGATTTTTGGGCTGGATCCCACTGATTTTTGGGCTGGGTCCCAGTGATTTGGAGTGTAAGGAAGGCAGTGGCAGCAGATTTTAATTTTCAGGCTCTGGAGATGAGGTGTTGCCTATGAACTGCCTGGGATGTTGGAATTACCCTCCTGAAAAAAAAAACTGACCTGGGTTTTGATTCAGCTGTGTGTGACATGATCTGATAGAATTAAGAACTGGAATCTAAAAAGTTCTCATATTTTGAAACCTGTCAAACACTTTCCTACTGCCCTCAATTCTTTCCTGCTTGTATTTCACTCCACAGAGGAGCAACAGTTGTAAGATATTTACAAACAACACATTTAATTCTGCTACAAGGAAATAATAACTTGGTTCATAAAACACAGTTGCTAATCTTCAGAAATGCCTGCTATGATTGAAATAATTCCATTTTTCTATCTTTTCTTTTTGCTCAGATGTTGTCATCTCCACAGCTTGTCACCCAACAGAAAACATCATCGCATCAGCGGCGCTAGAAAACGACAAAACAATTAAACTGTGGAAGAGTGACTGTTAAACGTTCCAGGATTGCTTTAGAGACTGTCAGGATTAAAAAAAAGTTTTTAAAAAAATTATTAAAAAATAAAAACACCCATAAATCCAGTTTGGCAGGAAACCTGAAGAATATTTGATAAAGTGGTTTCTGTTAGTCTTGGCCCAAAGAAAACATCTTAGCTCTGCTAGAGCTGGGCAACGTGGTGGAAAAAAAAAAAAAAGATGCAGTGTCTCCTTTTCTTGCCTGATGTTTTGGCAGACAAATGGATGATTCTGATGTCGGGTCAGAAGTCTTGGACACCCCAAAGATACTGTATTTTCTGATGGCATTGCTTCTGGGCACTGTTGCTGCTTAAGGAAGTGCTGCCAGTCTACTTTGTACCAGTAAGTTAAGTCACAGGCCTAGAGATGTGTGGAATTTTTTTTAAATATGTCTAATTTTTTTTTCTTTTTTTAATTTTTTAAGGGTTTTTTTGTTTTTTTTTTTCCAGAATGTAGTTTCTAGTCTCTTGGGAAATTTCTGTATTGTTTTAAATAGGAGTACTGCATCTTTAAGGGTGCTTCATTTTAAAACACTCAGCTCAAACTTTGTGACCAAATAAAACCATGCAGTTCCAGATTTCCCTCTTCCTGCCCCTGACTTGACTCCTGTGGTGGAATCTCTTACCTTCTGTATAGTTGCTTACCTCTTGTTACGTGTGTTTAATAGATGCTGTTCTAGAGCAAAGTTACAGTTCTTCTGTTAACCATTAAAATGAATCCTGCTTGTAGTTGTTCTCAGCATATTTTAATTTTTTGGTTTTTTTTAAATTTTGCCTCTTCTGGTTCTAAAGCCAACTCACAGAACACTGTAAAGTTATTTCAATGTAAAAAGAAACAAACCCAGACTTTTTGTATCTTGGCAATCCATGGTATGAAGCTGTATTGCAAATGGCATGACTCTGTATCTATCTCAGCATTGGTATTTCTTTCCCTTTTTGTCATATCCATGTGGTATTTACACATCCAGAAAAATACCATGTGCCATAATAAAAAGGTGGGATTTTATGTGTATGTTTGTGCTTAAGAGTGTGCTCATGTGAAGTGTCTGTGCCCAGGGAAGCTTCTCTTAAAAAACATTTTGAAGGGGAGATGTTTTCTGTAAGGGAGGATGAGGAGCAGCAGTGTGGAGAGAAAAAGATGAACAAACACAAGTTCAAATTGATTTAATGAAGGGAAAAGGATTGAGCTGAGGGTGCCCTCAGCAGAGAGAACATTGCTACAACCCCTCACAGAGAGTTTGAGCTCAGGGAGAGGATTCCTGCTGCCCTCTCCTTGCAGGGACCCAGGATTAAGAAATGCATGGATGCACAAGTTTTACTGCACCCAAAAGGTTCTGCTGCAAAGGGATGTTTTGCTCCTGGTGAAGCAAAATTTCTTTTTTTTTTTTTTTGCTATTTACCTCATAATATTTTGCTCCTGGTGAAGCAAAATCTCTTTTTTTTTTGCTATTTACCTCATGTGCTTGGTAATAACAAAATCAATTGCAGTCCAGACCTTTGGAGTGCTGCTCTGAGGTTGCCTTGCTTTGAAACCCTTGGAGAAAAAGAGCTGCAAGACACGAGGCGTAGGTTTTCTTTTTAAAATATAAAAATAGAGTTCATGTTGAGCTGCTAAAATGGCTATTAATAATATCACTGCCTTTGAAGGTTTTTCATTACCCCCAGGAAGGGACACTGTGTCTAGACTTGCTGTCACTGCTAAAATGATCAACTCCTGATTTTTTTTCAGCCTTATTCCTGAAGGCCAGTGAAACTGTTCAATTCAATATGTGGCTGTGCTGCTTTACAGCATGGAGGAGGTGGAATTTTACTCCAGCAAAGCATTTTAATGTCGATTCAGAACTATTTCCTGCCATAGAGCTTCTCATGTCCCTGTGAGTGGCTTTGCTTGCCCAGCTGTGCTGCCACACACAGCTGGGGAGGAGGGAGATGAATTTTCTGCTGTCACAAGGAAATCTCTTGAACAGGGATAGAAAAGCCCCTAATGTAAAGGATCTGCTGTAAAGCTGCTCTTCATAAAGATTGTATTTAAATCCTTAATATCCCACCTGGGATTAATGCTGGGGCCTGTTGGCATGAGCTCTACTTACCTCTAATTCTGTGCATGGCTGTGGTGGTTGGAGGGCCAGGATTAGCTCGAGCACAGCTCTGGAAACGAGGATTGTGTGCTGGCTGGAGCAGGGGAGGTGTAACTTTATTTTAGGTACGAGCTGAGAGTGCCTGGGGTGAGTTACTACTGTGGGCCTCGGGTGCACTGGCGACTTTTAAGCTGAGGGACAAGGCGAGCTGGAGGACTAAAATAGAGGCTGCCGCGCTTTCTTTAGCATCTTACGGAAAGAAAACGAGGGGGAAAAAATAGAAAAAAACATGGTTAGATGCCACGAAGTAGGTGGCAGTGCCTTAACCGTATGTGTGTTGTACAGGCCACTAGGGCCTCTTCCATCCTTATCAAGGGGAGTGCTAACCTTCTCTCCTTTCATACAACACGGTAGATTTTGTGCACCCGATGCTATTTAAACCTCCAGTAAGCTTCACCTGTACAGAATAGAGTGAGATAATTTTTCTATCCTCTCTCCCCTCAATTTGACATCTCTTTCTAATTCCTTTCAAAAATCTTTTACTCTACATTCCAATTTTGCCCTAAAAACCCTAAAAATCTCGGCAAAATCGCCAAAATGCGCGCTTTCGGCTACTCTTTTAATATATTCATCACGTCCAGCCAATCAGCGTGCAGAAGGCGGAGCTTCTTCCCCGGCCCCGTGTGGTTTTGCTTTGGCCTCGCTGAGGGAGGCGGGCGCGCCCGCGGTTCGCCGGTTCGAGTCCCGCCCCCGGCGGGCGGTGCCGCGGGGATGAGCTCACCGCGGGATGTGCGGCGGGGCCGCGTAACCTGCGCAGGATTTGGGCTTTCCTGCCGGGTATCCCTCGGGTTTGGGCTTTCCTGCCGGGTATCCTTCGGGTTTGGGCTTTCCTGCCGGGTATCCTTCGGGTTTGAGCTTTCCCGCTGGGTATCCCTCGGGTTTGGGCTTTCCCGGGGGGTATCCTTCGGGTTTGAGCTTTCCCGCTGGGTATCCCTCGGGTTTGGGCTTTCCCGGGGGGTATCCTTCGGGTTTGAGCTTTCCCGCTGGGTATCCCTCGGGTTTTAACCTTCTCTCCCGGTACCCCTCGGGTTTGAGCTTTCCCGCTGGATATCCCTTGGGTTTTAACCTTTTCTCCCGTTATCCCGCGGGTTTGAGCTTTCCCGCTGGATATCCCTTGGGTTTTAACCTCTCCGGGTATCCCGCGGCTGTGAGCGGCACTCAGGGATGTGCTGCTGGCACCTCCCGCAGCCGGAGCGGCGGTGCAGGAGGGAGCCCGTTCCCGAAGCGTTCCCGCTCCGAGTTCCGTCAGCGCTAATGACGAGTTACAAGTTCCACACGCGGGAGCGGTGGAAAAGGTTAGGTGGGGTTTTTTTCCCCCTTTTCTTAAGGCCTTTCTCTGCGGTATCCCAAGGGAATCCAACCAGACGAACATTTCTCTAAATGAGCACTGCAACACCTCAAAGCAGCCCGGGGAGCTGCCGTTCCCAGCGGGATCACTCCCCCAGCATCCCGCTGCAGGTGCCACCGATGCCGCTTAAGGCATCGCTCCATCCCCCGACCCCCGCGACCCTCCCAGCCCTTCCCGGCTGGAAGGACCAGCGGAGGAGCCGCTTTTCCGGATGAGGCTGCGGATCCAGGTGCAGCGCCCAGGGGTTTGCACAGCCCCGGCCCCGCCAGATGTGCACAGCTGCTGCATCACAGACTCACAGAACGGCTTGGGGTGGAAGGCACCTTACAGCTCGCCCCGTTCCGACCCCCTGACAAGGACAGGAACACCTTCCACTCTCCCAGGTTGCTCCAAGCCCTGTCCAGCCTGGCCTTGGACACTTCCAGGGATGCTGCATCACTGCCACAGAGCCCAGGCTGCTCCTGGCTGCCCCTTCCAGATAACTGATGAGTTTATTAGGGGATTAAAAGTTAGTTTCCCCTCCTTATTGAATGCTCTGATTTATGCATGCGTTTAAATCAATCCCATTTCCTGCCTTTTATCCCTTGTCCCCCAGGCTTTCAGGCTTTACTGTGTCAGACATTTGTTACAATCAGATTGTTTTGAGGCAAGCGAGACACCGTGGGTGGTTTAAGGGATTTAAATCCATGAGCTGCATTTCTTGGGCACTTCTCCCAGGTACCAACTGCCCCTCCTGAGCTGTAGATTCCCCTTCTTGGGCGTGTTTGTGCTGTCTCCTGGTAAAATATGAACCAGCCTCCCTGCTAATGAAGATGCTGATGGAGATTCACTCCGAGCCTGCCTGGCTGGGAGCTGTGTCTGGCACAGGAGGTGCCTGGTGAGCTGGGGTGCCCAGGGCGGGGGATTTCAGGTGCTGCTAGCAGGCAGTTGCTGGATGAGCTACATAAGCAGCTTATTTTGTCATTTTAATTTTTTAATCCCGTGCATTCGGTCGCGCTCTCTCATTAGTAAGCATTAGCTGCCCAAGTCCCATTAGCTCTGCTGAGAGCTGGGGCTTTGCCTTTGGGGAGAGCTCTGGGGGAGCCAACAGGGGGCTGGGGACACAGCTCCGTGGTGTCCCATGTGGGTGTGACCCTGGCCCTGCAGAGCCATCGCTGCTCAGCCCTTCCCTCTGCTGTCCCCCTGTCCCCTCCCCAGGACCCTGGCAGTCCCAGCTCCCTCCAGAGCTGATCCAAGCCCGGGGCTGGCTCTAACCTCCCCCTGCAACTATTTTATTGTGTGTAAACACACACATATTCCATTCAAACCCTCTCCTTAACCTCAGGGCCATCCCCAGAGCTGTACTTTGTAAGAGGATCTCAAGTCTCGGATTTAAAATTAGTTGACTGCTTCTCTTTAATAAAATTATTCCTTTCCTCTTTAAATAGCACAATATGTCACAGAAAGCCGGTGGGTCCGTTCATGAAGATGAGACAGCTCAGAGAGGAAAGAGACAGGCAAAAAAAAAAAAAAAAAAAAAAAAAAAAAAAAAAAAAAAAAAAAAAAAAAACCCCCC